GCAACTCCTGTGACAATTGTTTACTGTTCTCAACTGTCTGTACAATTTTAAAGAACATACATCTAGACTATAGGAAGTCAGAAAGATCAGAATAGGAATGTTCCCTTGTTATAGCGATAAAATAATTCGTAAAAGGCCCATTATGCCTTAGAATTGCTATGATCATTTTTATTTCTCAAAATAACTGTTTTTTGTATCTTGTTACAGTTTCCGAAAACATACTCATTTGCTATAAACAAGAACTATTTGTTTCATCTTTACTTCAGTTGGCAATTGGTATAAATATAGTGAATTAGTATTTCATATGGAAGTAAAAACACCACTTTGATTACATTTTGCTTACTTTACGACACGTAACTGCATGGTAAGCGCTAATTATCTCAGTTGTTAAACATCTAGCATGCACTATTTAATCCATTATTTAAACATAATTAAACATATGTTTGACATTTCTAAAGAATTAAAAAAATATAGTTTTTGAGTCATAAATTGTCTTTAATGTTATACGAGTCAAAATAAAATAGCGCTACCTTTATGTTAACTTTGATAATTAAAAACGATTCAATAAATTAATTAAAAACAATTTCCTTCCATTTTACGTCAGTTAGCTGACATTAAAAAAAATCTAAAATATTCATTTATCAAAATTGATGATTGCGACATAATAAGATATTGTATATTATGTATTGTTTCTTAAAATGCACAGTAATTGACATTTCCTTTGAAAATTGATTGATTAGAAAATTAAGAAATAAATCATGATTATTATATTAAAATCTGGTCACCGAATTTAGAAAATGTGACGCATAGACATAATTGTACATTTAACTTTTTGTAAGGTACAAATTTTTAACAGATTTTAGAAAATAGGAAACAATACTGTAAAGTTTACAATTAAAAAATCTGAATATGATTCGAATACAAAACGGTATATTTATATATGGTCCTATATAAACAATTATTACACCATAATTTATTTCATGTCCAGAATTACACCATTAATCAAGTCCTGATGGTCGTTATTCGTTTTATTACACATTCTCACGCATGCACACTTTGATAGATTTATTTCTTTGGTTAGTCTAGAAATTTGTGATCTTCATATTTTTAAATTTTCATTGAGTTTATGTCCTTTACATACCATTCTTACTTTGAAGCAGGACCATTCGTCACAATCATCCCAGATAAGTCTATGTTTCCATATAAGATAACAGTCAATTAAAATGATCTTGCTTATGCATAAATGGACATAGTCTGTTCATTTGACACTCTTTAATTTATATTATACATACACATCCATAGTCAAAGCACCAGTTTGATTTATAGCGCTTTAAATACTTACTTTGATGACATTTAGTAATAATTTTAAGGTTTTCCTACAGGTCTGCTTTCTAGAAGGTTCTAGCTCATTTACATTGAAATAGCATTAATAATAAGCAGTTTCTTGCATCGACGTCATTATTCATCCAATTTTAGAAAGCTAAGCTAAGGTGATGCGTTTAGGAGAAATTCTAGCTTCTCTCAAAATGAAGCTTATTGATGAGAAGAAATACATCATATCACATAACTCTGCCAAACATAAAACTTTGAATATTGTTATTATTAATTTTTCACTTATCTAGACGACAGGACTTTGGCAAAACAGCAAACAAAATTCAATTTATCTTTTTATGTTTGAATTTTCAATGATTGACATACTGTTTTAAGATTGACAAATGTGTTATTTGAAAATAAAGACAATAAATGATTTGGAAAAATACTATATGGTGATGCCAAGTTTATTATTGTATGTACGTTTTTGTTTTTGGTTTGAAATAGTCACTCTAGATAGTGTATAAAAAGCTTTTCTTTCTTGTGGCATAAAAGAAAAAATAAGCATTAACATACACATCGTTTATATTCAAATAAATGTTGTTGTTGTTGTTGTTGTTTTGGTTTTTTTACATTAGGCTCATAATGTTGGAGGTCATTAAAATATGGTCAATACAATATTAATGCAGTTTTACAACAATATAAGTATATGGACCAATAACTTCCTTTCTGGTCATATAACTACGGCTTTTAGTGTTAAAATCAACATATTTATGTCTAATTAAACTAATTTTTCAAGTAGAAAAACCAATTTACCTAAATGTTACAGACTGTGGATTTTACGCACCACACAAAGAACGAAGTCATGTTTTATTTGTCTGTATTTCTGACTTTATTTCAATTTTATCGGATAAAACTGTTGACATCCAGCAAATAACGTACATATCTAAATCAAATCAACGATTATGCCAATGATTAAGTAACAATAACAATACTTAAACATTAATAAAACATTTTTATTTAAAATATGCAGTTACAGATTGTTTTGTTTAAAACTAAATAAAAGTGTACTTCTTAAAAGAAATGTAACAATGAATTTGTATGTTTGGCGCTTGTGAAAATCATTTTTTATTTAAAATATGCAGTAACAAATTGTTGTTTAAACTAAATAAAAGTGTACTTCTTAAACATGTAAAAAAAGGGAATAAGTTTGTATGTTTGGCGATTGTGGAAATCATTTGTTTTCTTATAAATGCAGATTTAGGACTGGCGTTACTCTAGGCAATTATCTGGGCATAATACAATTGGTACATCTAATGGTAATGGAAGTATATTTTCAGTTACCATGTGGTCAAATGCGGATTTATAATTGGCACATTTTGTAAAACGTTCTGGACTGAATAATGTCCTGTTGTCATTGATAAATTATTGCCATTAGTAAAAGGACACCTAACAATAAAACGCTTCTTTCTGAAGCTATTTCATGTTCTTTTATGTGCAATGATTAGGTTGCAGTAAGGAGAAATAAGTTCTTGCTATTGAAGCGGTTGGTATACACTTCGCCTACGATATTGCACTTAATTAATGACTTTACGATAAGAGGCTGCACCAAAATCTTTATGTATTTTTATATTAACACATGCTTTGCCTATTCTTTATAGTGCTTTAAAGGTAACAAAATGTTCTAACGTTTGACATTAATATCTAGCTCTGCTGTAATAAGCTCTCATATAGAAAAGATACTAGTTCTCATGTTATATATTTAATTTTATAGTTTTCGTTTCCAAAGCATGGATTTGTTACGATATAGTCACATTTAATATAACTAGGTCGATAACCTGAGTACAATATTCCGACCTTACTGATTATAAATATAATCCAGGCTTTCTGATTATTCAATACTTTTTAAATCTGAAAATGTAAAATCAGCTCCTGAACTAGCAAATCTATCGCCCACTGCCCCTAGCACATATCAAATAGAATCGAACATTAGAGTCTTAAAATGATGTAATTTTTGACAAGTATATTTTCAAAAAGCTAACCTTTGGGTTTTAATATGATAAATATTCGAACCCAAAAGTTGTTTCATCGATTGCCAGTTTGTGTTGTAAGTCCAACAGCGATAAGAAAGCCAGAGGTAGCTTATTCTATCCACTCAAAAATTTCTCCCGTGAATAATGATAGCTAACATATTTAGTTTAAAGACGTTTTTTTCAACGTCGGTTACTTGCGAATTTTGTATTAACTTGTTACTTATCCGGGAAAGTCGGTTTGATCGATCCTCCGCCGTGATATGACAAGACAAAATTGACATACAAACAAACAAACAAACAGGATTATCTTTATATTTAACAATAAACAATGGTAATATTTCATTCTATATTTCATGTTTATTGCCCTTTGCCACCTCTCATTTTCTATGATTACATTCAGGTATAATTGTATTCCCATCGATTCGATGTATATTACTTATGTTTATTGATAATATTCCCAACCTTATTTAAGATCATATACAGGTACAAACCCTTGTAACAATCCTAGCAAAGAAAGCAAAGCATTGCCATCGGAACTGTCCAAAGGGTTATGTTATATTATTTTATTTATTACATGTTTAACAGATTTTTGACTATATCGACAAATTGAAAAACTGGGATTTAGAATTTATCCTTAGATCTACGAAATAATGCAAGTGATTTATTTCTGCATTCTTATCCTTTTGTAATTATCTGTATTATCTCTCGAACTGAAACTGTATATCTGTCAACACTTTCATTCCATAGACAAAATTCGTTCCATTATGATGTTACAAAAATAGACTCTAGGCACCAGAAACGAAATAATCTTTGTAATATGTCTACAAATTTCTAAGCTTAAAGAAAGTTTGACATGTGGTAATCTGAATGTATAACCTAAAGCAATTTCTACTATAATAATTTATCATACATCGATAGATATGCGTTTTTTGTAGCAAGATAAAAGCTTTATACATATTAAGCTTCAAAGACAGCGAGTTCATTACCTGAATGTAGCTTAGATTTTTAGAGAATGAAAGTATTATATACCGTCACAATCTGTGAAATCACTAACAGTCTGATGTTTTTTAAAAGTAACCTGCTAATTTAGTAATGTAACTGACTACAATGTAAATGTATAAATACAATGTAAATCTAAACATTCAAAAAGAACTTTTTATGTCTTGCAAACTGTACGTAGGAATCTGAGATAATAATACCATAAAGCAAAGCTAAATACAACATATACGCATGTTTATTCAACGGCCGTGGTTAAAACGGTTCCTGTTCGAAAAGTAACGGGAACAGGATGGCAAATATGTTTATCACAACAGAACAGTGCAGATTGAATGGCAATGTCTATACTCAAAACAAAAACTTCTAGCAAATTATGATATGTTAATATAGTTTATGACAGTCTGTCTCGCCATGTATTACCATTCTCAAAACTTAAAAGGATTTCCTTTGTACTGTACTGCAGATCAAAAATAAGTACACAGTACACATTCCAGTCTTAAGAAAACCGACAATGTTAAACATGAAAATTGTCTTCTCTAAAGTAAGAAGACTTTTATATTTACTTATTTATGCATTGATTTTCCTTAGTTAGATTCAATTTAAGAATTAATTTATATGTATCTTAAGCTAAACGGCTTTAACTTGCCATTTTTGTAATGTCATTAAGTAGCGTCATGTTAAGTATAGCAATTAAAGATAAAAGAATCACTTACTAAGTAATTATAGAACATTCATAGAATAGTGTACCTATAACCTGATCTAATTACAACAGCATAAAAGCACGCAAAAAGGGACATATCTGAGCATTCATTCCGTTAGTTGTTCTCTTTTAAACGAAAATTACTTCCCGTGAATCCATATCATTAAAAATTAACAAACGTGCACATCATGTACTTTGTCTACATATTTTTATTTCATTTTTGCCTTTATACGTATCTATTATGTATGCGTTAGTCCGCATTTCCGATAAGAAGCGAAAACTATTAGTTTAATCATCACATAAGTATTTGAATAAATTTGTTCCGCACATCCGAGTTCATTTATAATATAATTACATTTTAATACAGACAAGAACTGAAAATATACTTTAATATGGTAAATTCTTTACAATTACAATTTTGTAATTGAGATTTGTATACTACAAATGCAACATCACTTCATCTTAGTCAGTCTGTTTCCTTTTTCTGTTAAATGTTTGATCACAAGCCGCTGTTTTCGTAATCAGCCTGTTCTCTAGTAGTGTTCTCTGCAAGAATATTAGAATAAGGAAATATTCTTTGATAGTAAAACATCTTGTTTGTAAATATGTGTAGAAAGAGCTTGTTACTGTTACTTTAAACTAAAACCAGTACAAGTATTTAGTTACATCTTTAAGGGAAGACCCGTTGCTAATGTTGAGAGAACTTGTGCCAATTATGTTATACCATTGTATTGTAACTGTCTTTACATGTATGTTTATGTTTCTTATTTTGGCAATTAAATATGTTCAAATAAAAAATCAATAAATATTTGTACATGTATATAATTAAATAATCAATTGCTTTCAATTATTCGCCCGAAACTTACACCCATAAATTGAACCCCTCTTGGTACAATGATTTTGTACTGAAACATATTGAGATCTCAAAACAGTTACATATTTCTTGTGAAAATTAGAAAAATAAACTGTTGAAAATATGATCTTATAATTGATATTTAGATATTCATCTTGAAAATCAATTAAAAACGTGTACCTGTCCCAAGTCTCAGCACCTCATACTTTGCCTTACCATCATCCTCGTGCTGTAACGTTGTGTATACTTGCTGATTTCTATAGACAGAAAAACAAGTATCCGTTGTGGCAATTTATCTACACCTGGTGACCGCATAAATGCATTGAAAGGAATAGGAAATGTGTTTATGAACAAATGACAATATTGCATGTGTTTATTCTATATTTCTAATGAGTACATGTTTGCAAGATCACTATGCGGATTTACTGTGAAACCTTTATTTATTGTATACCAAGCTTTGAATAACAATTGAGTAATACATTGAAAAAAAAGGCTGAAAACAACATGTAATATAAGCGAACTATTGTATATCATAGATATACAGTTTAAAGATATGATAAATTTAATTAACATTCCTTTTTATGAAGCCCGAAATTCGACAAAATTAATATTGATATACAATTTCACGTAGATATTGAAAATGACTGCATATATGAGAAACGCCCTTTTACAATATTTAAAATATGACGTCAAATGACGTGTACGAATGTTGTCGTTGATGTTGACAAATACCCATTAAATGTTGAATTAAATATCTTTGAAAATTATCTTATGTCAATGAAAAACAGAATAGATGACGTTAAAGGTTGTTTTCTCATGCCGGTAAACGAATAATATCATATACCATATATTTGTTTGGGATTTATCTTACCTTGTTTGATCTTGTATATTCTCCTCTGCATTGGCTTCGTTCCCTGTAGACATTAAATTAAAATATGTTTATCAAATTGCCACTTTCTTCAAGTATCTGAAACTTGTTGTATCAACAAATTTAACATAATATTTGCTACTTTTTCATATTTTTTATGTAATTTATATGATAAAAGCTACATAAATAGATATAATTCCACAGTAAATTACAACAATATATCTCGGTTAAAAAAAATAATCTTCGAATTGTAGTTTATACGAATTGCTTGAAATAACAATGCTACCAGGTGCATTTTGTTCAAATGCAAATATCACGCGAATATAATTGAACACTATTTTAAAACATGTATTACTCTTAGACTTTCTCAGCCTTCTTCTTAAAGTTGTTATTATCACAAACGCCAGAAGAATGACACACAAGGTCCATCCGCTTATAGCAATCCCAAGTAAGGATTTGTCAACCGGTTTTGTTTCTAAAAGAAATATACTAGTGATGGTTTATAATCGGCGAAGTAAGATAATTTCGAAATCTATAAATGAATGAAAATTGTGACAGAAACATGACAGTTTGTTTATTTCAGGAAATGTTTTCTGGTAAGATTTGTGTTTGAACTTAAGGCTTCACTCGTCGTTCATAAAGATGAAATGATAATAAATTTAAAAAATCTTTGCTTTTCAGTTTTCGTTTTGTTTTTCTTTACTCCGAGTTAAACACATTTTTGTATCGGCAGTCAATCCACCTCACAGGCTTTCCTGAATAATTAACCGGTAATTGTTTTGATATATAACCTATTATTTTTATGTAAACAGACTTAACTACACTTTGTGTTCGTTGTAGACATCTTATCAAAATAATGCCGTGTATTTCAAAAGACGAATCATGGAATTGCTGTAATTTTATAAAAGGTGTAAACGGTTAATTTTTTTTTAAGTATCCAATTATTCCACTAAAATGTCTTTTAAAAGAGTTTCAGATTTATTACCGCAAACAATCATACAATGTATGTTAAAATGTAAATGTTTTACCTGTTTCGCATTTCTGTCCTTCATATCCAGAGATACATCCCTCTGTGCAGCTGCCGTCAAACCTCTTGCATTTTTGGTTTAAACATGTTGCACTGCAGATATTTTCACAATTGTTACCGTAACTTCCTTCTTTACAACCTATGAGCAGTAACCATTTTGTTTGTTACATGTATTATCATTGCAGTTTTTACAAATAGTCATTTCACATTTTCATCGTATATGCAAACAATATAAGGGGCCTTCGTTGCCAAGTGGTTTAGTCGCTGATTTCAAACCAACGGCCCAAAAACACTATGGATTCGAATCCTCCAGGTACTTTCATATCTTCACGTGAGGAAGCTTACTAGCTAGCTAACTATAGAGAGGACAATTTTATTTTTCTACATTGTCGGTTATCTTAATATCGGTAGGTCTAATAAGGTGCCCGTTTGTGACTGATATAATGAACGGATGGAACTCTTAGCCTTCCTCCCCAACTTAAGCTGGAATGTCAATACATGACCTTTACCAAATATCGTTGTAACTTAAAACTAAATCTAAACAAAAACAGTACAACCTTTATCACAATATCCATCTTCTCTTTTGCAAGTACCGACATTGCAGTTTTTGTTACACGGTGTATCACATCGCCCGCCATAGACTCTGTTACTCGTGCAGCCATCTTTACAATGTCCGGAGTTTTGCTCACATGTGCCGTTGACACAGTTACTAGAACATGGTTCAATACACTGACTCTTCCAGAACCGTTGTCCATTACATCCTAATAGACATGTCCCATTCAAAGAGTCACAAACTCTAATAAATGGATGAGATGGTTTGTCACAGTTTGAATTGCATATAGTCTGACACTTTTCTCCCCAATTGGTAGCAGTACACCCATTAACACATTGACAGGATTGATTACAATTTTGTTTTTTACAACCATCTTGACATGGTATTTCACAAGTTAATCCACAATAGCTTGAATATCCACATTCAAAACACATTCCTTTCAGAGAAAAAATGTGAATGTAATCATAAAGAAAACTTTATTAAAATAAGTACAATTAACAAATCTTATAAGTGTGCACCTTTTATGTCCTTATAACTTTTTCGTTTATCAATATATTTTTTCTCACTATTGGCTGCTTTTCCACACTTTTCCCGTGCTCAAGCATGCCAATTTTAATTATGAGGTGCAATCAACCATGAACGAACGACATTAACACAATGCACGAAAAAATTGATAGAATGGGTGAAATAAAATTGCACAAGATATTCTCGGATACGATAGAGATCGACATATCAGAAAAACATAACATGGGTACATTATCTATACAACAGCGTGGTATAGTCCTAGGATTGGTCAACGCTGGTCTACACCAAACAGAGGTTGGTAACAAAAATTATTTGTTTAAATAATTATATTAATTCATTTGCATTGGAAAAGCCGAAAATCATTTAAATTTAGTTTCTACCTAAGACGAATATAAAATTTATATTTTTTTTATTTAGTAATAACTTGTCTGTATCATTTGTAGGTTGCGCCTCGCATGGGTGTACACCGAAACTATAAGAAGGCTAATCATTAAGTACAGAGCAACTTCGTTGGTAACCTTCCTCTAAAACCCCAAAATTATCTACAATGGTATGTAAGATCGATGTGACGACGCTGCCGGGCTGAAATACAAAGTCAGGGTGGGCACACGCGGTATAAGGACATCATTTTGCAACATCGACTTTCGACACGCATTCAAATTTTTTAGAATTACATCTTAAATTTGTATCTTGAATAAAAAATACTGAATAAAAATGATAACATGTCTCTTTTCTGTATTTATTGAAAATTTCAATAATCGGACAAATATTGATACACCTATGAAACCATTTATACATGCACACTAATAAGATTTGTTAAGTGTATAATGTATGTAAAAATGTAAAATATGATGTTGTCGATCATTGATAGAGGTGTTACAAAGAATGTCTTTGTATTTCAATACACATAAACATTAGATGTTTATACAATAAATAAAATTATCAAAAAGCCTTTGCTTAAGAACTAAAATAAAAGATTTTGCTTGAATACTCGATTATCATGTATGTGTAAAGTTTCCTCGATATTTTATAGTGATGTTATAAGCAAATGTCTAAAATTGTTACTTTGTTACTTTATATCAAAATATCAAAGTAAATGTGTCCATTACAGATGTTAAAATATCTTAAATATATTATAATGGTTCTTCTTAGGTAAAGCCCTTGATTTTCAATATATCTGTTACCACGGGGGAGGAAGTGTTACACGAAGGATGGAGTTCTTATGATAACTTGTTCAGGAGTTCTTGTGATAACTGTCACGGAGTTCGTCGGAAAACATCTGTATATACTATAAAAACACTCGTCAAAAATGGTTATTATTATTACAGAGTTCTTATGATAACTTTTGTTATTGCCAGTGTGTTTCTTGCCCTAAATCACGGCATGTTTAAGCGTTTTTTATTATTCAATGAGATTGTAAATTATTATGAAATGAAGTACGCTCATCCTTTGCGCAAAAAATAGGATATATAATGTTGGTTTTGAGTGAATTTTAGTTCAAGAGATATTATTTCTTATCCCCGTTTCTTTTTTATAATACTTTTTTTGTTTGATGCAGATTTCGTAGACTGGAAAAAGGATATATGTACTGGTTTCCTAGCAGTTTCCGGCCCCTAGCAATTTTCTGGCCCTTTATCATTTTCATCCAGGCATACAGTCTATTTTTTCTCAGTTAAACATCTTTGTTACTGCATCAATCAGAGAAACATTTGTTTTCTATGTAAAACAGCAGTTATAATAGTACAGCGATTAATATGTTTCAAAGTTTTGTCTGTTGTTTTAAGTTACATTAGGGAACTTGCGGCACTTACAAGCAACACCTAGGGAATTCTAGTTTGAATGCCCATGTACAATAACTGAAATCCCATTCTAGGAAAAGCTGGAACCTAGAGGGACAGTTCAATTTATTTCGAGAGATCGGTAGTTAGAGCCAACCTCAGTTGAGTTTTTATCATGTATCGTACTTTTTTGAGACATAGGTATGGAATATATCCTGGTTATATATTTATTAATTATGGTATAAAATGATACAAATTACTTAGCCCTTAGGTAAGGGAAGCATGCCTATATATTGTCTGCTGTAGAAAAGTGGTTCCTTAAAACATGTGAAACTGAGAACATCGTGTACGTTTTGAGACATTTTTTGTGGTTTAACTGGTTCAATTTTTACTGTAGATGATAGCCTATCACCTGTTTATCTTTTGAAGACACTTCAGACCAACGTTTTATCCACATTTTTGTGCAAAGGATGATCATACTGCATTTCATAATGAATTACAATGTTATTGAATGGTAATAAACGCAAAAACGTGCCGTGATTTAGCGCAAGAAACACACTGGCAATAACAAAAGTTATCATAAGAACTCTGTGACATCTTCAGAGTTATCACAAGAACTCCGGGACATTTGAAAAATCGGGTATAAATCTGTTAGCCGGTGCTCTATGTATGCAATTTTGCATTATAATTAGGTAATCATGTATGACAAGGATGAAGACCAGAAATAAACAGGTCAAAACTTGTGAATAGGCAAGTAATTTGGAAATTTTACTCAAAACTACCAGATTTGAAGCAAGAGGCGACGAAAAATAGCCTTTGAATTAGTTTTTGACACATAATACAAGATATAAGACAAGCTTGGTCATTAAAGTTTAATTTAGCACCTAAACTCATTTTTGAACGATGAATATAACCATTTTTGACGAGTGTTTTTGTAGTAAATACAGATGTTTTCCGACGAACTCCGTGACAGTTATCACAAGAACACCTGAACAAGTTATCATAAGAACTCCATCCTTCGTGTAACACTTCCTCCCACGTGGTTACACGAATTTATCAATAGTTTAGACTTGTTGTGTTACTTAAAACATTTGTTTGTTTGTTTGTTTCATTTTACGACTTTTCCCAACAGTATTTCAGTCATATAGGCGGGTAGTTTCCTAACCATCGTTCCTGGAGAGTTACACCAGAACTAGACTACATTCCTCCGCGCTAAACTACCAAAGCATGTCCCGGGGATCAAACCCACGCCAGAGAGGAAACTGGATAAGAAGTCATCGACTCTAACCCCTCGACCACGGAGGCGGTCTACTTAAAAACATCAATATGACTTAAGCATTTGTAGGTTTAAGAGAACAAAAGTAAACATCTCTATAATTTTTTGTCATCATCAATCACATACAATTCATTCTAATTTGTATGTCTAATGTTGAAAGCAATCATCATTCCCGTTTTCGATCGCGTGATAAGCTGACATAAAAGTTTATTAAGAAAAGGTGAACCCTATTGTGTTTCATACAATTTAACGTAATAGAAATGTATAAAATAAATAAATGTGTATAATCATAGCGTTATTTTCATCAACTACCAAATTTAAAAATTAACTATTCTGCGGATGTCAATTTAATTCAACATGATTCAACCAATCTGGAATGTTAATTGTTTTGAGACTTAACGATTAACTCCTAAATATACCCGGTAGCAACAGAACCTCACATTTGAAAGTAGTTTAGAATAACAATAAAATATTTTTAATAACGCTGCGTCTTTCAAAATTAATTTTAAAGTAATTTTAGTAATATTATACATATAACAGCGGATACACGTTTCTCACAAAACACCGGTTTGATTTATAAACAGAATGATGTATATTGTTTGTTTTTTTTTTTTGTTTTTTGTTTTTATTTGTTTGCTTTTTTTTGTTGTTTTTTTTTGGGGTTTTTTTTTTGGGGGGGGGGGGTGGTCGGGTGCGATTAACAACTGCTAATACATATCAAGAACATTTGTTTAAAAACAAAACATTATCTACTTCTTATTGCAAAGAAGCAAATTATTTACCAGTTTCCCTGTGACACTCATCTTTACACGTAGAACTGCAGCGACCTCCACAGATGAAACCATACCGTCCTTTTTTGCAACCGTGATTACAGTAACCATCCTCTTGTCTACATGTCGTTTCATTACTACTTAGTGAAGGAAAACACCAGTAGTTACATGTTCGACATTTTCCAGCTGACAGATAGAAGTTCCTGTTACATTTGTAACATTCAATTCCGCTGCAATAATATATGACATCACGGTTTAATTCTAACTACAATGTATAAAAATATACACAAAAAACAAAGGAAATATTGGCACGCCGCAGTTGAGACTCGAACCAAGGGTCTCTGGATTGCCGGTTCAGTATGCTCATGTATGAGAGATTATTTTAGGCTATCTCGTTAACCTAAATTACGGCATTTTCTAAAAATAAAATGAATCTAAAGGCACATATTTGAAGATTATTTCTATCGATATACACATATATTCTTCAATAGGTCACAAAAATGTATGTCGGATATAATAATAAGGCCGAAATAATGCTTTCAAATAAGCGACTTTAGCGGAAGGTCATTTTATAACTAAAAAGCCACAGATTTTTAAATTTAATTATACAATGGTGATGCTAACAAGAAAGATTTCTATGAGACTATAAACTTACATATCACCCTCTCCTGCAGTACATTGTTCACAGAGTGCATCTACATCCGAACATCTTCCTGTGCAGTTTGAACCATAAAATCCATCTTTACAGCCCAATAAACATTCGTCTGTAGTTTTATTACATATATCCCTACCGTTTTCATCTGATAAACAATTCTCTGGACATAGAATTGAGCAGTTTGGTCCTGCAAAGCCTTCTTTGCAGCCGTGTAAACATTCCCTAGATATATGGTCACATGTCCCAGTTTCATTATCTGTCGGGTGTAAACATGAATCTGGGCATTTATATGTGCAATTTGGTCCAGCGAACCCAACGTTACAGCCATATAAACATGCACCAGTAGTTGTGTTGCACGTCTCCGCTGTTTCAATGGGACCTTGAACGCATAAAGTGTTGCAGGTAATATTTTCTGCTTCTGTTATGTCTGAAAATGTATAACTGTATTTAAAATGCTTATTTATCACCATGTTTTGTATGTAGATGTGAATGAGGCGAAATAAATCAACACTATTTTGAACTGATATGATCCCTGATATCATTATTTCCTGTTTTCATTTAAATGTTGAAATTAATAAAAATGCTTCATTTACATAGTTATATGTAACATGCAGTCGTTTCGCAAAATTTAAACAATTATCATGAAAATACTTCACAGTTGTATATAAAAAAACTATTCTCTTTGATAAACATAATAATACGATTATATTTTTTCAACACGGTCAATTTAGAAATACCATGTAATCTTCATTTTTTCCATGTAATCAATAAGATTTTTAAAAAACAAAACAATTTGATAAAAAAAAGATTTATTTTAAATGTAAATTACATTACTACTTACGTCTTAACAGAATAACTGAAAGCCCTAGTGCCAAAATCATTGTTGAATAATGTTCTGTTCGTCAATCGTTCAAGTCCTACATATAAATGTTTCATCTAGATATATAAATAGTAAAATATAGAAAATGCTCCGGTATAACCTTAAGATTTACGCATGTCTTTAAAAAACGTTTAGGATCAAACCAGGAAGTTTAGAAAATATCAAATATCTTTTTTTTAAAGTAAATATTTTTAAAAAAAATGTTTTATCTTTCTTCTGATAAGAAGCAACACAGTCATATATAAATCTACCCACAAAACACATATTGGTATTATCATATATTAGTGATAATTGCTTTTAAAATTCTTCCATCCTTAGCAGTTTTGCGTAAAAATATACACACATATTCGCCGAAGCGTGGCACATCTATTGTAGCAACTAAAACCAGTGCCTTTATGTAGGGCATTTTGTAAGACTTATAAGTAAATAAAAACATGATCTTCAAAGATATATTAACAAAAATATAAAACATTTTAACCATCAAAATTTTTTTAAATGCTTTGACCGAGATTCGAAACCGATTTGTCACATGTTTAGCGAGGATCTTACCACCGTGTAACAGGATGCTAATATAGTAAAGTAAAATTCAACAAGAAAACTTACCCCACTATTTCCTTAAGTACGGTACTGTGGCAGTTGTACAAGTATTTAATAAAACACACATTTTATTCTCTCTCCTCTATCCGCTTGATTACTTTTGTATCGCTCTCTCTCTCTCTCTCTCCCTCTCCCTCTCTCTCTCTCTCTCTCTCTCTTCCAAAGTTAGTACATTTTATTATCACAGTTAAAAAAGATACGAAAGACACAAAAGAAACTCAGTTACAACTCAAGTCTATAATGCTTTTAATAAAATGACATTTAATACCCTTATTTTTTAAACTGAATACAAAATAGCCCCTGTTATCATTGGATAGATATCGTGTAAAAATTATACCTGACGTAAACTACAATTATGCACTTATGCGGTGCGACAGTCGATGCCTGTTAAAAAGGTTTGTTTCGTAATGTTTTGAAGCTTATATCTACGGTGTTCTGTAAGGGCCATCATCTATGAATAACGCAAAATGGCGAATGTACGAAAGGACATAGACGGAAGGCACAAAGATAAAAACTTGAAAACACAAAGGGACGCGAAAACACGAATACGCAAAAGAACGATGACACAAAACGCGAGAAATATAAGTCGATAATTACTTCGTTTTCGTCTTTGTTCCATCTTGTTTTGACTTCGTCTCTTCGTGTTTTCGCGGTTTCGTTCTTTCACCTTCTTTTCGTATTTTTCAGATTCCGTTACTAATGGGAAGAGCAGCAGATTTGCTTAAAATTGGACAAGGCTATGCTAACAATGACATACTTTTAAAAAAATAAAACTGTTAAAAAGTGATTCTTGTTTACTGTTAAAATTTGAGTATACTAGTAAAGGGCTTGTGTGTATATCGATCAAATCATTATACACTTGCCTACTATTTCACCTGAAATTATTGACTGGGGTATTTCGTAGAAATACATGTATATACATGTATGTCATACAAGAACAAAAATACAAAGACGTGTAAAATGTAAACCCAGATTTGTTTATCTGTTTAATATATATCTTTGAAATAGTATTTCAAATTTAAATAATATTATATCCCAAAAACACGGGCACTTAAGTTGTGGGAAATGATGTGTCATCTTTTTGTTGTGTAAAAAAGGTGATTCTGTAACACTGGCATGCGTATAAGTAAATGCCTTACTATAGGTAGACTTTCTAGAAAAAGAATACAAACAGTAAGTTCACTCGGGTCTGCGACACATATTAATAAAGTTTTAAGCTTTCAACTCACAGTAACTATGTAATTCTGGAAAAAGTACTGCAGCCTTTTAACTATTGTTATTTTATATTTACTCACGAATATGACTGTTTTAATAACGATTTTGTTCCGGTGTCATATTCCAAGCTTTAGGCATTTAATATGTTTGTCACCTCGGTAATGTTTCTCTGAAGATCACTAATTGAGTATTTAAGTAGATTGAATATGGTGTGTTTTGATGTAAATTTGAAGTATTCGTATTGCGATAAAAGCAGAGCAAAACTGTTTTGGAATAATTGAAACAATTGTAACGAACTTTAATGACTGTCAAAGACCCTGGTCATTTTTCTTAAGATGAAGGGACGGCTTATGCACTCACACATTTAATCCACATTCTTTGAAAACCTAAAAATATTAATCCCCGATCAGTATCAATACGAACGAAGTGACCCTTTAGTTTAAAACACAAGACTAGTACTGACTTTGGTAAAATCGTATATTCTTACTGATTTGACGACGACGAAAGGATGAAGCTAGGAACCAATGTCGGATTATCTTCATCTAACTACCGAGTACTTGTGTCAGATGTAAGAAAAAGAAATATTGTTGTGATTTTAGTTGCTCTGATACTCATGGTTTCTGTGTTGAAAGACAGACATTTTTACCACAAGCCCGCATTTCCCCCTAAGCTAAGTACGATTTTAGGCACCGTACCAAGACACAACTCATGTGCTAGTTGTTTGTTTTTCTGGCCTCATTTGATTGTTCTCTAATAAAACTGTTGGCACCGAGCAAATTACGCACAAATTCAAATCAACCCAAAAGTTATGTCAACTTTGAGACAAGATTAAATGAGCATTTTTAATTTAAGATATAAAGTTTCAAAATGTTATGTTTTAAACTATATTTAAGCGTATAAAGCTATATATCTATTGCTTGTAGTTTACAAATTATCGTTTGAATTTTTAACACTGATGCTCCTTAAAATCCTGTATATTTGTACGTTTGGCGCTTGTGGAAACCAAATTGTTCTAAACACTATAAATGTAGAACTGGTGTTGATCTAGGCAATTATCTGGGCATAATACAATTGGTATTACTAATGGTAATGGAAGTATATTTTTCAGTTACCATGTGGTCAAGTGCGGATTTATAATTGGTACATTTTTGTGATCATTTCTAGGCTGAATTATGTCCTGTTGTCATTGATAAATTATTGTCATTAGTAAAAGGACACCTAACACTAAAATGCTGCTTTCTAAATCTATGTCATGTTCTTTTATGTGCAATGAATAGGTTGCAGTAAAGAGAAATATGTTCTTGCTATTGAAACTGTTAGTATACACTTCGCCTACGATATTGCACTTAATAAATGACTTAACGATAAGAAGCTGCACCAAATTCTTTATGTATTTTTATATTAACAAATGCATTGCCTATTCTTTATAGTGCTTTAAAATTAACAAAATGTTCTAACGTTTGACATTAATATCTAGCTCTGCTGTAATAAGCTCTCATATAGGAAAGATACTAGTTCTCATGTTATATATTTAATTTTATAGTTTTCCACAAAGCATGGATTTGTTACGATATAGTCACATTTAATATAACCAGGTCTATAACCTTAGTACAATATTCCGACCTTACTGATTATAAATATAATCCAGGCTTTCTGATTATTCAATACTTTTTAAATCTGAAAATGTACAATCAGCTACTGAACTACGGACGGCAGTCGTATAGCAAATCTATCGCCCACTGCCCCTAGCACAGATCAAATAGAATCGAACATTAAAGTCTTAAAATGATGTAATTTTTGACACGTATATTTTCAAAAAGCTAAACCTTGGTTTTTAATAATTATGATAAATATTCGAACCCAAAAGTTGTTTCATCGATTAACAGTTTGTGTTGTAAGTCCAATAGCGATAAGAAAGCCAGAGGTGGCTTATTCTATCCACAGTCCAGGCAAAATTATTCTGTGAACAATGATAGCCAACATATTTACTTTAGAGTCATTTGTTTTTCAACGTCGGTTACTTGCGAATTTTGTATTCACTTGTTACTTATCCAGGAATGTCGGTTTGATAGGACAACACAAGCAAACAGGATTATCTTTATATCTTACAATTAACAATGGTAATATTTCATTTTAGATTTCATGCTTATTGCCCTTTGACACCTCTAATTTTCTATGATTACATTAACTTAAGGTTTAATTTTATACCCATCGATTTAATATATTATATTACTTATGTTTATTGATAATATTCCCAACCTTATTTAAGATCATACACAACCTCGTAACAATCCTAGCAAAGAAAGCAAACGGTCCAAAGGGTGATGTTATATTATTGCATTTCTTACATGTTTAACAGATTTTTTTGCAATGGCCATGACAATATGGACAAATAAGCACTCTATGAAAAACTGGGATATACAAGTGATTTTTAGATTTACGATATAAATCAAGTGGTTTATTTCTGCATCTTTATCCTTTTTGTCATTATCTGTATTATCTCTCGAACTGAAACAATATAATTCGTCTGTATATCTGTCAACACTTTCATTCCACAGACAACATTAGTTCCACTAGACTCTAGGCACCATAAACGAAATAATCTGTGTAATATGTCTGCAAATGTCTAAGCTAAAACAAAGTTTGACATGTGGTAATCTGAATGTATAACCTAAAGCAATCTCTACTATAATAATTTATCATACATCGATAGATATGCATTTTTGTAGCAAGATAAAATAATTATATATTCTAAGCTTCAAAGACAGCTAGTTCATTAGATGCATTTAACTTAGATTTTTAGAGAATCAAAGTATTAAATACCGTCACAATCTGTGAAATCACTAACAATCTAATGTTTTTAAAAGCAACTTACTAATTAAACTGTAACTGAATATATGTATAAATACAATGTAAATCTAAAAATTCTAAAGATAATTGTTATGTCTTGCAAACTATACGTCAGAATCTGAGAAATAATAGCATAAAGCAAAGCGACATTCAATATCTGCGCATCTACCAATGTTTATTAATTGGTCGTGGTCAAACGGTTCATGTCCAAAAGGTATCGGGAACAGGATGGCAAACATCATATGGTGATCAGAAGTCGCGGTAAAAACTGTCTAGGGACCAAACATTATTGTTAATTACAACAAAACAATGGAGCCTTTATGCAACTAAATTGCAACGACTATACTCAAAACACAAACTTCTGATACATTATGATACATAAATGTAACTAATGACAGTCTGTCTCGCCTTGGATAATCGTTCTAAAAAAGAAGTGTGTTGAAGAAGTACCTCCTAACTTAAGAGGTATTCCCTTGTACTGTACTGCAGATCAATAATCAGTACAAACTACACTTTCCAGTCTTAAGAAAACCGACAATGAAAAAAAATGAATAATGTTCTCTCTAAAGTAGGAAAGCTTCTACATTCACTTCATTGTGCATTGTTTTTTCATATGTTTGATTCAATTACAGACTTTATTTATATGTATCTAAAGCTTAACAGCTTTAATTAGACATTTTCTTCATGTCATCAAGAAACATGTACTTCACATGGATCCATATCATAAAAAGTAACAAATTGTGCAAATACATGTTTAATGTCTACATACATGTATTTTATTTCTTATTGCATTATTAGCATCTATTATATATAACTAGTCTGTATTTACGATTAGAAGCGTAAATAATTAGTTTAAACATCATCAAATAAGTATTTGAAAAAAAATTCCGCACATCTGAGTTCATTTTATACATTTTAATACAGATAAGAGTTAAAAATTAATTTTAACATGGACAAATATTAGCATATACAGTTTTGAAATAAAAATTTGTATATGTCAACATCACTTCATCGCAGCCAGTCTGTTCTGTTATATTTTTCTTGTTTAATGTTTGATCAAAAGCCGCTGTTTACATAATAAGCTTGTTCTCTAGTAGTTTTATCTGCAAGAATATTAAAATAAGGAACTATCCTTTGATAGTAACACATCTTGTTTGTAAATATGTGTAGAAAGAGCTTGTTACAGCTTCTTCAAACTGAAACCAGTACAAGTATTTAGTTAAAACATCTTTAAGGGAAGACCCGTTGCTGATGTTGAGTGAATTTGTGGGTCAACCCTTTTGTCAACTTTGTTATACTAAATAATGGTATTGTAACTGTGTTTACATGTACGTATAAGTTTCTTGTTTTGGAAATGAAATAAATTTTAAATCAAAACAAATAAATAGCTGAAATTGTATATAATTGAATAAAATCATCAATTGCATAAAATTATCATGTCGGAACTTACACCTGTTAATTAAACTCCTTTTGTTACAATTATTTTATACTGTAATATATTGAGATCTCAAAACAGTTACATATTTCTTGTGAAAATTAGGGGGAAAAACATTAAAAATAATATGATCTAATAAATTAATTATTGTTTAGATATTCATGTTGATAATCAACTTGATAATTTGTACCTTTTCCAAGTCTCAGCACCTCATACTTTGTCTTATCATCATTCTCATCTTGGTCATGCTGTAATGTTGTGTATACTTGCTGATTTCTAGAGACAGGAAAACAAATATTCCCTTTGGAAAATTATCTGCACATGTATTGTGACCGCATTTAAAGTAGTGTCGTTTAGCAGAAATGATTTTGTAAAAAATTACATAATAACATGTGCTTGTTCTATATGTTAAATACATACTTTCAATATCACTTATATGTCTAAAGATACAAATTTGCAGTATAATCTAATTGGACGGATACCAAGCTTTGAATAACGAATTAGTCATACATATTTTAGTTTGTTTTGTTTTAAAAATTCTGAAAACAACATACATTGGACGAAATATTGTATATCATAAATATGCATTTAATTTATAAAAATATGATGAATATAAAGAACAAAACTATTATTATGCCCAAAACTCAGACAAATATTATATACAATTCCACGTAGATATTATAAATAACTGCAAATATGAGAAAATGCATTTTAATATAATTTAAAATATGACGTCAAACGACGTATACAAATGTTGGCTTTGACGTTAAAAAAGTACCCATAAAATGTTGAATATTCTAATAATAAAGAATAGGTACCGATAAGCATATTTTTAAAGATTTATATAATACCCAGAGCTAGGGAATTGAATATCTTTGAAAATTCATTATGCCAATGAAAAAAAACTAGAATAAATGACGTTAAAGGTTGTTTTCTTATGCATACAGGTGAACGAATGGTATCATATACCATATATTGGTTTATTTTACCTTATTTGGGCTTGTGTATCCTCTTCTGAATTGGTTTTTTCCCTATATACATAAAATTCAAAATTTCAAAATTTGACTCCTTTCTCAAGAATCTGAAACTTGCTGTGTCAACATTTTAAACGTTATGTCCACTATGTATATGTATTTCAACTGATCTGCTATAAGGTTATTAAGTCTTAGTCCACAATACAATATTACAATGTATCTAAAAAATAAATTTTAAAAAATCATCAAAATCTAAACGAGCTGCTTGAAATAACAATGAGTCGAAATGTTGTATTTTGTTAAAAGGTAAATCATACAAGTATTAAATTGAATACATTTGAAAACATGTATTACTTTTAGACTTTCTCAGCCTTCTTCTGACTGTTGTTATTACCACAAACGCCAGAAGTATGACACACAAGGCCCAACCGCTGATAGCAAGCCAAAGTAAAGATTTGTCAACCGGTTTTGTTTCTAAAAGAAATATTTAAGTGGTGGTTTATAAACGGATAAGTAAGATAACATAATAGTCAATTATAAACGGATAAGTAAGACAACATAATAGTCAATTAAAAATGAATGAAAACCATGAATAAAATATGACAGTTTGTTAATTTCAGGAATGTTTTCGGTTTTGTGTTTGGTAAGATTCTTTTATTTAAGAGGTCATATCTCTGTAAAGGTCTATCCACACGCTTCATTCATCCTTCAGTAGTGTTGACAAAGAACTATACAATATTTCCTTTTTATTCTTTTAGTTTATATTTTTACGCCGAATTAAACGCATTTTTGTCTCGGCTGTCGAACCACCTTAAGGGCTTTCATAATTACAATTAAATCTACAACCTAATGTTGTCAAACACAAGTTTCATGTATACAGACTTGACTACACGACATTCGTGTCCGTGGCAGACAGGTTATCAAAATATAATGCTGTGTATTTGAAAAGGCGAATAAGTATACAATAGTTCAACTTACTTGGCTTTTAAGAGACATAATAATAATAATAATAATAATAATAATAATAATAATAATAATATCTTTATTTAAAGAAGGTTACACATTAAGAATATATAATAACAATCATATATATCTTATTTCCAATGTGGCCTCTTCTGAAATAGAAAACAACAACAACAACAACAACAACAGGACATGCATAGGTAGAAAAAATGAATGTATAATATGTATTTTTTACTCACATACTTTCGACAGACACTCAACAATTTGTTTAAACATATACGTATATTGCATCATTCGTTCGTTCGTTCATTCATTCGTTCATATATTTATTCATTCATTCATTTACTCACTCATTCCTTCATATGAACATCAAGAAATGCTTTGTATTTTTCTTTAAAACATTTAAGGTTATTAACATTACGAATATTTAAAGGTATATTGTTCCAAATGTTCATGCCATAATAAGAAAATGTGTCTTTACTATAATTTGTTTTAGGTCTTGTCCATAATACAATATCTTTTCGTGACCTAGATCTTAAGTTATATATTTTGTTGTCGGATAAAGTCATCAGTTCTGTCATATAAGTCGGTGCCATGTTATTTAAAGTTTTAAAAACAAGCACCGCCGTGTGGTATTTACATCTGTCAAGGAACGGTAACCAATTAAGAGTTTCGAATAAATTTATTGACGGAGATCTTTGAGGTTGCTGTAAAATGATTTTAGCAATTCGTTTTTGTAACTTACAAACATTATTTATGTAGTTTGTGTTTCCTTTACCCCATATAATACAACAATAGTCCATAATGGGCAATATATATGCATTTTAAAACAATAATTTCATATCAAAGTGCAAAAAAAAATCGATATTTTTTTCAATAAGGCAATTTTTCCGTTAAGTTTTTTACAAACATTGTCAATTTGCAAGTGCCATTTTAAGTTGTTATCTATGCAAATACCCAAGACTTTTTGATCAGTTACATTTTCAAGAGCTATTTCATTTATCTTAAGAATTGATTTTCTCATAATATTTACTTTTTGTCTTGTTCCTATTACCATACATTTTGATTTATCTGGATTTAAGGCCATATTATTTATTTTGCACCATTTGTCAATGTTATTTAAATGATCTTGAAGTTTTATATCTACTTTTGATACATTTTCTCCGGACTCATAAAGAGTAGAATCGTCTGCGTATAAATCAATTTTTATATCATTACCAATGAAAGCTATGTCATTTATGTATATTAGAAATAATAAAGGTCCTAATATTGAGCCTTGTGGAACACCGGAAATTATTTTCATTGTCTGAGATTGAAGATTACCTATCTTAACCAGTTGTATTCTGTTAGAAAGATATGACTTAAAAAACTTAACGGCATTTTCAGAAAAATGATAAAGTTTAAGTTTATGCAAAAGTATTTCATGGTCAACCAAATCAAAGGCTTTCTTTAAGTCTAAGAATACAGTCCCGATAATTTTTCCACTGTCAACATCTTTTAACCAAGTATCTATTAAACTAATGAGTGCAGTATTACATGAATGATTTTTACGAAATCCTGATTGTTTATATATCGCCCACTGCAGTTGTTTCCACAATTAAACATTAAAACGTAAATGTTTACCTGTTTCGCATTGCTGTCATCCAAATCCAGAAATACATCCCTCTGTGCAGCTGCCATCAACTTTATTGCATTTTTGGTTTAAACATGTTGCACTGCAGTTGTTTCCACAATTGTTACCGTAACTTCCTTCTTTACAACCTATGAGACAATAACCATTTTGTTTGTTGCATGTATTATCATTGCAGTGTTTTTACAGCTAATCATTTCATATAATGGAAAATTTACTATTTATTTTACCTGTTTCGCATTGCTGTCTTTCAAATCCAGAGATACATCCCTCTGTGCAGCTGCCATCAACTTTATTGCATTTTTGGTTTAAACATGTTGCACTGCAGTTGTTTCCACAATTGTTACCGTAACTTCCTTCTTTACAACCTATGAGACAATAACCATTTTGTTTGTTACATGTATTATCATTGCAGTTTTTTTACAGCTAATCATTTCATATAATGGAAAATTTACTATTTATTTTACCTCTTTCGCATTGCTGTCCTTCAAATCCAGAGATACATCCGTCTGTGCAGCAGCCATTAACTCTATTGCATTTTTGGTTTAAACATGTTGCACTACAGATATTTCCACAATTGTTACCGAAACTTCCTTCTTTACAACCTATGCGATAGTAATCATTTTGTTTGTTACATGTATTATCATTGCAGTTATTACAGATAATCATTTTACATTTTACAGCGTTTATAAGAACAATATAAGGGTCTTCGTTGCCAAATGGTTATAGTCGCTGACTTCAAAACACCAGCCCCAAATGCTAAGGGTCTGAATCCGCCAGGTCTTTAAGCTTTCCAGCTAACTTACGGGTCATACGTGGGTCTACTCAGATGCCCACTAGTGCATGAAGTAAACGGATTGGCAGCTTAGCTTTCCTCTCCCACTAAAGCTGGAATGTCGCTATATGACCTTTACCAAATATCGATGTAACTTAAAGTAAACCCAAAAACAGTACAACCTTTATCACAATATCCATCCTCTCTTTTGCAAGTGCCAGCATTGCAGTTTTTGTTACACGGCGTATCACATCGCCCACCATAGACTCTGTTACTCGTGCATCCATCTTTACAATTTCCAGTGTAATGCTCACATGTGCCGTTGACACAGGTACTAAAACATGGTTCGGTACACTCATTAGTCCAGAACCGTTCGCCTTCACATCCTAATAGACATGTTCCATCATAAGCGTTGCAAACTCTTTCTGATGGATTAGATGGTTTGATACAGTTTGAATTACATACAGTCTGACATTTTTCTCCCCAATTGGTAGTAGTACACCCCTTTACACATTGACAGGATTGATTACATTGTTGAAGTAAACAACCATCTTGACATGGTATTTTACAAGTTGATCCACAATAGCTTGAAGGTTGACATTCAAAACACATTCCTTTAAGAAAAAAATGTTTGTAATCATAAACAAATCTTATTTATTATAATAAGAATAATGATGTTAAATAGTAAAACGCAATCCAATATGACTTATTAGTAGTATTAGTATCATATATATAATCATTTCAATAATAAAAACCCATTTTTCTTAAGCTTTCGACAGTCCATCTTCTTCAAAACAAAATGACGTTGATGAAATCATAATAAAATATAATAAAGTTATTTTTAAATTTAACGTATTCAAACTTTTTACAGAGTTGTTACTCCATCGTAAAAATAACATTACAAGACAATGTGGGTCTTAGCCTTTGACTGGCAGTTTATATTTTACAGTACGTTACATCAAAGTAGTTTACCAAAACATTTCAAACGTAATAAATAACTTCATGTGTTTAAGAAGTAAATATTGATTAAAAGTGATTTTTCTTACATTATACATGACTGTACATAAAGGAGAAGAAACTTTGATCACAAACTTTTTTCAATGTGATTTATAGAAAGCATAATGTTTATTGTTGTGTGCTGTTAATAAATGCTAAGACATATCAAGAACATGTGTTAGAAAACAAAACAAAATTAACAACTTTTTATAACAAAGAAATTTTTCAAATAATTTACCAGTTTCCCTGTGACACTCATCATTACACGTAGAACTGCAGCGAACTCCACACATGAAACCATACCGTCCTGTTTTACACCCATGATTACAATAGCCATCATCTTGTCTACATTGCGGCTCACCACTTATATATGAAGGAACACACCAAAGTTACATGATAGACATCTCCCCGCTGACAGATAAAAGTTCCTTACACATCTATTGCATTCAATTCCGCTACAACATACAACATTACTTTTAATTTCAATTAGTAATCTAAGTCATGAGGTTCCTCGGCAACTTAAACCTATGCTTGATAAATCAGTCAAGCATGTATTGGGTATATGTATGAAAGTGTATGTTGATAGATTTTACCATTTTATTTGATGTAATAGAATGCTATGATAAAATTTCTATAAGACAAAAAACTTACATGTCACCCTTTCTTTCACTACATTGTTCACAGTGTTGGTCTACATTAGAACACCTTCTTGTGCAGTTTGAACCATAAAATCCATCTTTATATCCAAATAAACACTGCTCTGTAGTTTCATTACATATATCCATACCGCTTTCACCTGTTAAACAATTCTCTGGACATAGAATCGAGCAGTTTAATCCTGCAAAGCCTTCTTTGCAGCCAAGTAAACATTCCCCAGATATATGGTCACATGGCCCAGTTTCATTATCTTGTGGGTGTAAACATGAATCTGGACATCTATATGTGCAATTTGGTCCAGCGAACCCAACGTTACAGCCATATAAACATTCACCAGTAGTTATGTTACACGTCTCTGTTGTATTATCGGGACCACGTACACATGAAGTGTTGCACGTAATATTTTCGCCTCTCGTTATCACTGAATCTTTAAAGTATTCAAAATACAAGTGCGTATTTATCATAAACATTTATGTATATATTTCACTTGATATGAATTGGGATCGATAAATCAAAACAATTTTAACTAGATGTGAATTAGTACAAACGAATCAAAACAAGTTTAACTATATGTGAATTTGTGCAAATGAATCAAAATAACTTAAGCTGAAATGATCCCAGTTATCATTTTTCATTAACACAATGTATATTTTGAGTGCTTCTTTTACACACATGTTTCACAAACGGCACGAGTTTTTTTTGTCACAATTATTATAACGAAATACTATAAAATAGTGTAAAAGACTCCCATAGCCAGTTTGAAAATACAAAAAAATGTGTTTATTTAAAGCTGCATGCCTCCAGATGAGCCAAAATATTATAAGACAAATTAAGCTGAGAAGAATATACTTAAACATTAAGAAAAGTAAAACGAGTCATGTAATAATTGACATGTTAAATGCGTTGAATGAATGATTTTGCAGTCTTCGTCACCGTATTTATATTGCATGACTAACGCAGCAAGGAACATGTTTACATATTCTGACCAATTTCTGGTATTTTTCGTGGATTTTAAGTGCCGTTTGCAATAACTGTCTTTGTGAACTTGAAAAGATTTACCTTTTAATAAACAGTTCATGAAAATTAGCAGGAATCTGATGACATGCCGCTTTAAAGAAATCTTCATTCTAGTCATGAAATAAAATAGCCTTTAATCTAATCTTTTAATTATCTATTAACAACTTTATCATAATAGTATTTATACATATATGTACATGTATTATGTAGTTCTACTTACGTCCTAAAAGAACAACTAAAAGTCCTAGTGAATCAATCATTGTTGATGATGTTTTGTTCTGTTCTGTTCATCAATCGTCCAAGCCGCACACTATTTTTTTAAAAAAACTCTTATGTCGAGATATATATAATAAAATACCTAAACATTTTAGTACAACAATACCTAGCCTGATGAATAATGCATTGTTTAAAACATTTGTAATAAAACCAGGAAGTTTGAAAGGTGTGCAAATACATGTTTAATTTTTTGAAGAAGTTAGTATTTCAAAAGAAATATTTTCCTTCTTAAAAGAAACGGTGTAATTATAAAGATGTACCCGCAAAACTATTTTTTATGATTTTTGTGATAATTGTTTTTAACATTTTCTTAATAATAAGTAAACACTTGCGCGTAAAAGACATAATCCTTTATTCGCGAATCAACAAACAACTCTTCTAACATATTAAACTAGTTCAATCAAAACCATGATCATTAAAGATATATAAACAACTTGTTTGAAATATAAAATATTTTGACCGTCCAAATCTTTCCAAATGCTTTTACCGAGTTTGAACCCCGGACATGCTACATCCTAAGCGAGAAATCATTTTGTACCACAGGCTGCAAATACAGTTATATGGAAAAAGTAATTAGAAAAAAAATGATTCTTAACTGAAGTCCTAAGTTTTATTAAGAAAATCAGGGTTGCCTGTTTCGAGACTCCAGGACCTTAGACTTAGACTTAGATGACATCAAGTTCAGTCTGAGTTTTTACCAGATGCTCCAAAAATGTTAAATAGCCGCAATGTTGACCCTTAATCAAATTTTTGACGTTGTTTTGACCAGCTTGGTGATCTTATTACTCAGAAGGGTTACATTCAAAACTATTAAAAGTTTACAGTATAGTTAATATTTTTTTTTTATTTTCCGTATCCTTATGCACATTATTATAGACTTTTCCTAAAAAAATCAGTTTAATACACTTTTCCCTCCAAAATAATGGTTATTAGTTGTGACGCATACTTTATTTTCTCAGTTTGAAAGAGACAAAGAGACAATGTTATAACTTAATTGCAATAACTTGAAGAAATTTGACAGCCCTCTCTTTCAATTAAATAGTAGGCAATCGCCCAGCTCTTCCCCCCACACCCCTCCCGACTTCCAATCAAAGTATAACATAACTTTCATTCGGCATTAAAATTGTAACAACAAAATCGATTTTACATTAAACAGAGCAAATGTGAGACACGTGATTTCTTAACCTAGAAATATATACATAGCTAACTATCTTGATTGATAGCATGTATATTTATAATATGTAGATAACAAAATCATTGTGTATAAATGTATTGGCGGTTCGAGAACTCTGGAAGTAGTGTGGATAGACTATTTTGTGTGAGTTGTTTCCCTTCCCTTGCAAAAAAAAATATTATCCCGTTTTTATGTGCAGTTTAATACCAGTATACATACATGCTGCGATTGTAGAGACCTGATAATGTTATATAACGAACTAGTATCCTTTATTATTGAATAGTATTAAAGGGTATAAATCTATATCCTATGAAATATTTTTATAAAATTTATCAACAGTAAAATTACTTTTATAAAATATATCAACAGTAAAATTATTTTTATAAAATTTATCAACAGTAAAATTATATTTGTTCCATTATTATATGGCTGATTCCCGAACAAGTTGTAACATAAAATGTCCCCGATATTAAATACACATGAATTAGGTACGTAAACAGAATAAAATGTTGCTGAACAAAATATCATTTTTGGCAATTTAAGTAGGGTTGTATCCGTATAGCAATGACTTTGTGCATGCGCCATTCGCTTTAGGCAATTTATTTCCACTATTATTTCATACAAACATTTTGGAAGTATTCTCTTTTAAAATCCAAACAATAATATTTGCATAAGATTTATTGCTTTATACACTTTAAAGAGACTCCGTTGAGGATTTTTGACATGACGGGACTGGAAATAATTTTTCGAGATAAATGTTACATCTGATATAAATCTAGTCCAGTGGCTAGATCATTCGCTCACTCGGTTTTTTCTTCCTTTTTCAGAAAAGTACTTATTGTGAAAAATTACCCGAAATTAAAGAAGTGTTGCAACATTATCAGCCAAATTGGGCTAGGAATAACAGACAAAATACGATATTCAATTTATTTCTGAGAAAATTTCTCGATTATCTTCACACATCTTTCAGTTTAAAGTGCCCAAGCTGATCACCATTTTTGGACCTCAGTGGAGATCCTTTAAGGATGTCCCAATGATTTAAATAAAGAAGGATAATACCACCGTAGGGAACGTGTTACAGTATCGCGTTTTTCGGTTACAGTATAGAATTTTCAAGATGGAGGATTATTTATGGAAAGAGATGTAGGTGATTTTTATTCAGGTCCATACTACTAGTAGTTCAGTTTCTAAAAGATGTTTTTGTGCTTTGCTTGTAAGGAACAGAATCCGGTATCTAGTCATATATTTCTTCAGACCCTGCACCGCAGATTTATCTCTATATTGTCTCATAAATGTGCAGATTTGAAGGTTGAAAAATTTGAATCGAGAGACCAACGCATTTTTCTCCAATTCCGACATTATTTAACCATGCCTAGATAAAGTAAATCTACAAAACGTTAGTCCTTTGTGTTTAGAAACGTAATAAAAGTAAATGACCAGTTGAACCTATTGTCCTATTGGTAAAATGCGTTTGAAAAAAATAAACAATGTTACAGTATAGAGCGAGGTTAATTTTGAAGGGTTACAGCATAGACCTAGCGACTTTGATCCAATTTTGTTACAGTTTATACCCAGATTTCAGTTACAGTTTAGATACTTGCCAAATTTCAAACAAAGTTCGTGTATCCATTATTTTTATGAAATAACTCTTGAAAGGTTGTATTACTTTTTTCTTCAGCAGAAAAGTTATAGTTTGCTATTTTTCTTACTTTAAGTTTCAGATTGAGACTTTTTGCAGAATAAGTAATGTCCTAAGTAAGGAATGCTTTCACGACAACAACAGTAACTTTTATCGAATTGTATTGAGAGAAGAAAGATTATTGCTTGATTTCATTACACATTATAATAATGCCTATTAGTAATAAAATAGAGAAAAAAGAATCCTTAACAGAAGTCCAACACGGAAAACATGAAAATGTTGCAGGATCACTTTGATTAATCCTGTTCATGGACGGTAGTAGTAACTGCAAGCTACCGTCAACGCCTCCTAGCACCGGCTTCAGCAGAATTCACATTAAACATGAACTGGTACACTTTAGATTTTTTAACGTCTGTGGATGTGTTCATATGGCGGTCATGGATCATATAACCTTCAATGTGACACGTTATTGCCATTCAATGAAAAGCGGCATATTACCCCCCCCCCCCCCCCCCCCAACCCGGTAATATGCCCTAAACGAGAATAAATGAGTGAAACTAAATAAAATGAAATTTTGAGAGGGGATCGGAGGTTATGAAGCCTGCATACCATAGACAAGCTGTCAAAAGACACAATTAACAAGCAGGCAATAACCTAAGAATGATTAAACAGTATTTAAGTGAGCAAAATTTCAACCTTACATTTTTTATAATTTTGAATTTCCATCTACCATAATGTAATTTGTAAGTATTTAAAAGGGTTTGTTACGTTTGGCTTTCTTGGATTTTAAGTTTCCACGACACTGAGGTCATGTGAAAACAATTAGCTTTAGTGTAAAAGAAGACCCCAGATACCCTTTGTGAAACATTTCAGACACGAGCGGGCACCTGACTAGAACCACCGACCTGCCATAAATTAGCTTGATAGATTCCTCACATACAAAGAATCCAAAGTCATGATTGGATTTCAACTACAGCAGTAAATGAAAGATAATTTGAAGTCGACGGCCTTATCCCGACTCTGCCACTTTTATGTACCTCCATCAGCCTCACTAGAGAAGATAATGTAATTGTCTGACCTTAATTTATACTCTATAACTTTCAATACTTTTTTTTTCAGAAACATGAAAACTGCTATACAGAATGTCTGAAATAAGAAAAAACGAGTTTTAATTTAAAAATGACAAAATAATCGTAAATTCAACAAAGAAGCATTCGAAATGACGCCATGATCATGATTTGAATGCTTTTGGTTCGAGACAAGAAGGGTCTTTAAACATTGCCTTTTTTCAAAATCTATGTTTTGGGTTTTCGTATCCCCGATTGCAACCGAAACCATTTGAACAACTAATTGGTAGAAAGTCATGTAAATTTCATCACATTTAGTCAAGTAGTTACTGCATGAGCGGATGAGATTGAACACACATGTGTATGACAGACGGACGAATAGCCATCGGGCCAATAAGCTCACAGCGATTTAAAAGTCTATGTAACATTCATATACATTTTACCTAGTATATATAGAAAATATTAAAGTCTAAGCTGTAACCGAAATCTGAGTATAAACTGTAACAAAATCGGATAAAAATCGCTAGGTCTATGCTGTAACCTTGCACAAATCACCTCGCTCTATACTGTAACATTGTTTATTTTTTCAAACGCATTTAACGAACAGGAAAATAGGTTCAACTGGTCATTTACTTTTATAAACGTTTCCTAACATAAAGGACTAACGTTTTGCAGATTTACTTTTTCTAGGCATGCATAAATAATGTCGAAATTGGAGAAAAATGCGTTGGTCTCTCGATTCAAATTTTCAAACTGTCAAATCTGCATATTTATGAGACAATATAACGATAAATCTGCGGTGCAGAGTCTGAAGAAATATATGACTAGATACCGGATTCTGTTCCTTACAAGCAAAGCACAAAAACATCTTTTAGAAACTAAACTACTTGTAGTATGGACCGGAATAAAAATCACCTACCTGTCCTCCCAACAAATAATCCTCCATCTTTAAAATTCTATACTGTAACCGAAAAACGCGATACTGTAACACGTTCCCTACGGTGAATACCACCCTTTGTTCACAAGAACTTTGATTACCATTGTCTAGAAAGGCTGGATGCGGCTCCCATTTGTTTTGATAGTAAACTATCTGCTACAGAGGATAAATTTGTATTTTTGAAATGTTGATTTGACCAAAAACAAAACTGGCAGATTTATTTAGATAAAGAAGAAAAAAGATAGCCAGGTCCCTTCACTTTTTTTGTA